AATGTATTTCAATTATGTAATAATTCAATAGCGAAATTTAAATACAATGTGTATTTTAATAACGCAGTGATTCGTTGCAGTTGAATTACATAATTAAAACTTTTCGGATAATTCAATTACTAATTACTTTAATCATATATCTAATTGAATTGCAATGTGATTGAACTAATTTCCAATAATAATTTCTGGAGTAATTCTATTGTAACTCTGCACAACCTCGCGTAAAGTTTGAACTGCCACTCATGATTTGAATTAATGTACATCCAGTGACATTTATGACTTAGATTACCGTATGCAGAGCGAGTGTCACTTATGAATGGGATTGATAGATAGTAAATTTCATTTATGACCTCGATTTTTACAGTAAGTGTCGCAAATGAACCACTTACTCAAAGCGAATCCAATGGTGACAGAGGATCGTAAAATAGAATAAAATGCTGTTGTCATGAATACTTTCTCGGCGTCGATATTGTTCCCAGTTAAGACATACGTCAATATAGTAATGAAAAGACTGAAACGAGGCACGTAGATGTCTGCTGTTAATCCGAGCTGCTCGACGATTGAGTATTTTTTTATCACGCTCACTTCTTTCCTAGAGCAAAAGGATTTTATTGTTATTATGGAAAAATAATAACAATACGTCTATGTAGTAAATAGTTGGATGGTTTGTAGAAAGGGTATATGATATAAGAGTGTCGTATTTAACCCATTTACCGCCAGGCGAAAAGCGTTTTGCGTTTGGCGCCAAGATTTAATACAGATGTGTAATCTTGGTTATTATTTTGATACCAAAAATCATAGTTTTCTGTTAGCTGTTTTCAAAAGAAAATTTACGATCTTCTTTTGCAATAATTCGTGACTCAAAAGGTTATAAACTTATCCTTCGAGTAATTGCAATCAATTGAACTACGAGACATCTCGTAGTTGGCAGCGAATGGGTTAAAGGTGTAGGTGCCTTTCTTGTACAAAACGTTGTAACAAAAACCAATGATATTCACAACTACATTATATACACATATAAATGTATATTATTTTAGTTTTATCTCCTGAAGGCTACCAGTACGTGATAAAAACAAAGACGAATGCTGAAGACGTAAGAAGATGGATACATTCACTGTCCATGACCCGAATACTGGTTACATCGTTGTGTTATTGAATAGGACCCTGAGAGATTGGACAGTGAACGTGTCAAGTACTGCAAGCGGAATTTTTCTTACCGCCTAGCTTTCTCAACGAGAAGCGAATACGGGACTTCCCAAACGTACATCTTGATGATCTCTACCCCAGCGATAATTTGATTCATCAATCTCAGCCTATCGTCGGTCTTTTGCGCTGATCCGAGCGTCAACCGTGACACTTTTCGACCCAAGAACACTATAAAATGCAATGTCGGAAATAGCTGACACCCACGAGATCCACTTCAACTTTAGATTTACAAATAGAAAATTTAATTCATGTAAATATTTGTCTTATGGTGGATCTAGAACGATAGGCCTTTTCTCTTTTATGAAATGCAAATTTTATTATTATGAGATTTATTATATGTATTCTGGTATTATTCTTTGTATAAAATGTCCAAGAACCTAAACTCTCAAACTTAGAAAACCAAGTAGGACAATAAGGCTGGAATACTTAAATATGTGAAAGAGAGTGCGTGAGAATAATTATTGGTAAAAATAGGGTTCATCCCTGAAATGGGTTTCACATACTATCAAAAGACAGAGAAAGGATACAGAGTACAATAATACTTAAAAATTTATTTCAAACGATATTTGAAATGTTTCAAATGTTTTCGAAAATAAAAAAGGAAAAATATTCTCAACGAAACACAGTAGGAATTTGTTTGTTGTCTTACATTGCAACGGTATGCACAACATGAACGTCGTCATCCCAGCAATGGCGCCGATCCCGAGTTCACGAAATATAAGATAGGTTACTAGAAGGATTTGCAGCGGGCCGATCCACAAATAATGAGCGCAGAAAACGAAGTAATCGAGCCTGTTAACGTCGTTACTCAGGAAATTGACCAACTGAAAAACCGCCAGGCAATAAGGTCACGCATCTGAATCGAATCGATCGACCTTAATTTAATTAATTCGTCACCTGTCCAGCGGACGTTTCGTTCTCGAGGACAGAAGTGGACAGCCTCAGTATCTTTCTATAGATCAGCGTGCAGCAGGCCACTCTGACTTTCATTCCTACGTGCATTAAATTCTGCAACGACCAATGTAAAAGTATATTGTCGATCATTGGCATCAGGCAGAACGCTGCCGTGTAATAATATATATCGGTGCCCCATCCTTTCTTATTTCCAGAGAAGTAACGCAACAGTCTGGCCAGCAGAAAAGGTTGCGCAATTCTGAAACAACGCTCGATTTAGATATTTACCTCTCGATGGTTCTTTACTTACGTTATCCAAGGACTAAGGTTTTGCTATGTTTTGTTACTTGCACTGGTCGAAGCAATTGGAAAATCAATTTACAATATATGGCACATGATTAAACATTTTTAAACTTCGCAGACTAACCCTTTGAGTGGTATGGAATTTAGGAGTGTATATGCTAATATTAGACTAATAGAGACTTAAAGAATACGAATACTTATGAGACTAACCGTAAGGACTTTGTATAACTAATGACACTCGCATTTAAATAAAATTCCAAAGGAGACGAGACGATTCTCCAATTATTTTGGGCAGTGCTTTAGGGTATCTATTATTTAATCGTGCAGCTTTGATACTGTACCGTATACCAAATTCTAGAATAAACAACACTAATCCAGTGTTGATGACTATTTTACCAAAGCACTTATAGAGTACTCTGAATAAACTGGGCTTCGAGCCATTCTTCTTTTTCTCGCATCGTATCGATTCGTTTTCCCAATTTTTCACGATACGTTGCCCTAACTTATTACTTTCATCTTCTCGTAGAGGGGAATACAGATCACTCTCTTCCAATTCTTTTTTGTAACCAACAATGAACAGCTTGAGGATCCACCTGTTCGTCGAATGAACGTTACAAAATACGGCATTTTTCCCCGAACATTATAAATAAGAATATTCATTTAAAAACACTGTCAAAATATATTATGTTTCTTATGAATCTAATGAACAACATTATCATAATAAGGTCTTTATTTCTTATATGTAGTGAAAATAGTTTATAACTATTAGTTTGTAACTCTGAAACTCCTACAATAAATATTTTCTGTCTCATGAATATCATAAATGAGAATTTTTATTTTCAAGATCTTACAATAACTCCATTTTTTAATTTTTGCTCATCTTTGTTGCAAACGAGGTAAAATTTGAGACGATTCTCACCAGAATGTAAGGATGGATAATACGTTGGCCTTCTGTCGCGGATTCTTCACTTCTTTCCTCTGTTTTTGGTCCATTTTTGTGAAAGGAACTGTTCTTTGTCATCTCAAAACGTTTGCGAACATAGATTTCTTCGTGTGCGTCTCATTTGCTGTAATCAAAGAACGAAAAGTAATGAAAACAATGCTTCATACAAAACATACTTTGCGAATCATTTATCATCGTTTAAGATAATTCCAGTGAAGACATTTTATCTGCACTAAATTATTCAAGAATTAACGTAGCTTTTGTTCTTAACTCACATTTGTACAACAGCTGTAAGTAAAATAAAGTATTTTTTCTTACGTTAGTCCACGTTTTTAAAAGAGGCAATAAATGAAAGAATTTAATTAGAAATTTAGTTAGTGAAATTCCAATTAGAATTTAACCTTTTGTGCTTCACTGGTGCTTCAACTTTTATTTACAGTAACAGAAGCTGAATTAAATTAATAAACGAGCCAAATTAAAACTACAAGTATTTATCAATTTTTGTGGAATAATGTACACTTTTAATTTTCGGAAGCAACACCATAAAATTATGTTGAAGTTGCTGTGTGCTCGAAACAAAAAGTATTCTGTTTTATTCATAAAATCCATAAAAGCTCAATATATTTATTGCTAGGAATTGAATAATAAAATTCTATACAAAAGTAAGGTATTAGTATTTCTCTTTGACGTGTAGTGATCCTTGGATTAGTCAATGTGTGCTCTGTGTGTAAGTGTACGACAGCTATGACGAAGAGAAATTTAATCATGGACAGCAATTAGGAGCAATTTTTTTTGTTATCTACGCGTGATACGAGGTCGCATGTCATACAGGAAATTCCGCTGTTGCGGAATCGATAGGTATTAAGAGATTTATATGAAACGATAATTTTACATAAGAAACATGAACACTCGTTACTTGATCTCTTCGTCTCTTAAATGAAAATTGACGAGAAGTTGTGTCACAAATTGGCAAATAATTAAAGTATGTGTAAATACATTCATTACGTAATGAATTTGCAAAATAATATCGTTTATATAATAATGTATTATCAATATAATTAATAATTAATATGATGGATACATTTAATAATACATACGTAGTCGAATAATTAAAATCTCGTCCAAAACAGCACTCGAATTCTCAATCGCAACAGTCTCGATATTCCCTTTCCGAAATTCGCAAACCATACTACCTCGCGAATGCATGCTGCCAACTGACATGTTCTCTGTTCCATATTCAACGCAAAACTAAAGCAAGTCCGGCTCCTGAAATTTTTTCACCGCGATACGTCAGCTCGGGCCGATAAATAACTAAAGCCAACGGTGAATTCGAAATGTGACTTTAAACTGTTGAAAGAACTTTTTCGAGCAAGTCCCAACAATATGGTAAATTTAATTATCGATAAATGCTATATTTGCATCACAATACATCTCTGCACGCAAAGAAAATCAATGCCAGTAGTTATAGCGAAAGCTTGAGTTTCAAAGAAGTTTGAACAGCCGGGAAAATTGTTCGAAGGAAGACCGCGCAGGGAAGATCAATTGCCAATTTTTTTGCGTTGCAAAGACGAAGTTCGAAAAGTGTATTTTAACAAGAGATGCGCTTTACACATAGTTATCGCCAATCGATTGCGCTCAGGTGACCACGTTAGGACGAAATTCCCAGTCACGCGATCACAGTGTCAATTCGAGGACCGAGTAACGCAGAACCGCGATGGAAGTGAGACAACAAATCATTCTCTATTGGGTTGTAACATAAGACATTTTTGACAGATCGTGGGGCAATCGAAGGCTCGAGTTAGAAGATGGAAAAGAAATGGAAAAGAAAAGAATGGCTTTGTGCATTTAAATCTCCCGCACAGCTGAGTTACACTGTAATTGCACTGTAATTCAATTATGTAATCCATTTACATTGCATTTCAATTACATTGCAGTTAAATAAAATAAGTCAAACTATTTAATTAGTTCAATTGTTAATCACTGTAATTGTATTATTTATTCAATAATGTAGAAATTCAATTACATCGTACTTCAATTACGTAGTAACTCAATTACGTTACAGTTGAATTATATAATTCAAACTCTCCAATGAATTCAATTGTTAATCAGTCTAATTATGAATCTAATTAAGTTAAAATGTAATCGAAATATAGTGTTACTGAAATACAGTTCTCTGTTTAGACAATACAAATTTATGAACAATAACATGTTCATCATTAATAATTACTCCCTTCCATTTAAAGCGTAATTTAATTGAACAAGGCTGATTGAATTTAATCGAATGAGAGATTTCAATCTGAATCACAGATCAAAATCTAAATGTATTACCTTGCAACAGTAATTCATGGGATAATTCAATTCTTCTTCTGCACTACTCTGCTTTACCGTAACCATATCATAAAAAGTCCAGAAATAGCGTACATCAGACTTTCTATAGATATGTTACAACCCAATACTTCTCAACATTCATCTCGTTGAAACAATTGTAGAAACACTTTGCTGTCCACGTTTCAGGCCACCAAAGACGTCAAAATCAGAGATCCTTTCGTGTTAAACGAGAGGTTTCTTTCTCTATCAGGAACTTGGCCAGTAACGAATAGGTATATACCATTCGCCTTCATGCTCGTCTATTTTGCTCTGTTTCTGGTCATGCAATATTGGGATTTCTACGAGAGCCTCGACGATGTCAATTTAGCGGTTCAAAATTTGTTGGAATCTTTGCTAGCGACATCGTCCTATCTAGTTCTTATTCTAATCAAACTAAACGCCAAGAAATTGAAGGACGTGGTAGTCAAGATGAAGAGAGAAATCACGGACAAGAACACGTTCAAGGATAACGTTGAGAAGCGTTTGTACTACGGGTACAATATTATCTGCTATCGTTTCGTTAAATATGCGACAATAGCTACACTCACCACGATGGTCCAGATGTATACTCATCCTGTGATACACTGGGTTTTGACAACTGTTAAAGGTATTTCGGAAATCAGTGACACATGGAAATGTAGGGTAAGTTGACGACGTTGAGCAAAATAATTATTTATGGCTTCAATACGAAAGTTTCGTTAAAAACTGAAATTTATTACGATGTAGTGGCATATTATGTATTAAATATATATTCGACTAAATTGGTTCTCCAAATAAATCAGGGGAAAAGAGTGCTTTCCATTATAGGGTACAAATTCGTCATCTTACCCAATTGATTCAAGCAATTATTTTAAGTAATCATGTATTACTTTATTTGAATAATTTGTTTCTTTCTTGTGACACAATATCACATTATAATACGAGTCGCTTTTTTTTGTTGATTATTTAAGTAATTTACCATCTTGTTTGGGTAGATGTTATTTTTTAAGATATTCATGTATTACCCAATTTGAACAAATTAATGATTTTTCTTCGAATCGTTTCATTCTTTGACAATCAAATACGATTTAACAAATCTCATCACTGGACATGTTTTAAAGTAAATATTATCGAGTTTAATATTCGATAATTGCATAATTGTACACATTTCATTAAACGAATTTCATTAATTGTTTTTATAACTGAATTAAGGTCTCTAGTTATTGTCTCATGAATATGCACACGCAACATTGAATTTTATTATTACTTCACGAAAATAGTACACAAACAAATATTTATTTCACAGGTAATTCTACTCCTCAGTACGAACTACCCTTTCGAGCCCACATCTTCTTTGACTACAAACAACCTCGAATCTATCCTCTGGTGTACATATATCAACTTCCTTTCACGTATATACCAATGGTCCACGTCGCTGAAGTTAGTTTCATAATTAACTTGATACTGCATCTCTGCTCAAAACTAGCGATATTGTCCTATCGTATACGAAATGTTCAAGTGCAACCAGTTCAATCTTTCAAAAACGGCATTAAAGAGTCCGTGATTGCGCATTTGGAGCTGACAATGTACGTACGTATTTTTTCCAGATTATTGTAATTTCCTTTAGAATATTAGAGTATTTAGTATTAGAATATTTAGAGTATTCCTTCAGAATATTGAAATTTCCTTTTGCACGAAGAGTTTTCCGAAATGACCTTTGAGATGTTGTGTTTTTTAATCAAACACAATTTATCCAACTTATTCAATTTTGTGATTTGATACGAATGTCTTGAGTTCAATTTTCAGATATTCTTTTGAATTTCCTTTTTTGATTCCATAATGAATTTCTATTATCACGTATTGCACACGTATTTATAATATTCCTTTTCGAAAACCCATTACAAGAGTTTACAAAAAATATTAACAGAATAATAATATGACATGTGACATCTGTGAGCTTTAATGTCTTTGTTACTGTGAGAGTGCGAGAAAAATTTGTTTAGCAACAATCCCTTACAGGTTATCAAACACACTAACCGACACGTTACATCTGATCCTTCTAGTGGAGCTCTTAAGCTGTGTCTTGAGGCTGGGTCTTTCTCTGTACATTGTACTACTCGTACGTAAACAAATTAAAAGTATTATTCACCTCTCACTTGTACAATTCAGACGGTAAAGGACTCTTTGATTGGTATTGATGCGAGGATTCGATCCTCGAAAAAGGATATTTAGAAAGATATTTAGAAACACTCTGTATAATGAATATGTAAATATAAAATCATGAAGTTTGCTAAACTTTACAGAAATTCTCTACGGAGCCAATGGTTGCATACAATTTTCTGATATACGCCATGGATATAGTTGCTTACGTATTTCTGTATTCTTATGTAGGCGAGCAACTAATGTATCAGGTATGTGCAGCACTAGTTTGTTCACGTTCTGTCAATTTCTTGGATTAGGTAAGAAATAAGTTCAACAGTATAACGGTAGATTTTGTTGCTCCAACTGTTCTACTATGATGTATAAGACTGTATCATTTTGTACTATGCTGCATCATTCTGTATTATTTTGTAATATTTTATTTCGTGCTGGATTATTTTGCATTGTTCTGTATCTGCTGTACTATGTTATATAAAACTAGTATCTGCATAAAAACTAGCTTGAATTGTATAAGTACAGATACGTGGGTACAATGAATGAATATAATTCACTTTTAACATAAATGAAATAGGCTTTCTTATAAACTTTATCGAAGCGATAAACATGTATGCCAATTTGTCAATCGTGGTGCAAAACATTAACAAGTCAATATGCTTTAGTCTCAGTGCATCGGCGAGGCATTCTACGATATTAATTGGCCAGAGGTGGAGTACAATGAACGGAAAGCATTGCTGATGGGTATAATGAACGGACAGGGAGCTATGAAGATGACGGCTGGCAAACTTTATACTTTCTCGCTGTTTGGTTTTAGCGGTGTAAGTTCATTTTTATTAAATCAGATTTGTACAAATCAAATAATTATCGTAACAACTAAAATCGTCTCTGTCTCTATTGTAACCAAAAGAAGGTGAATTAACAACAATTTCTATTTCAAACAGATCGTGAAGACGTCTATGGTAAGTTTCACCATGCTACGCGGCAACATGTAAGAACACGGACGAAAGTGCGCAATGTGATTACAACGACTCTGAGCCAGCATGCTAGCGATTCTGTCTTGTACATTGTAATATGTACATGGGTGTTAAGCAGCTTCTGCCGACATACCAAACAAGAATGGTACAAAAACACATAAAGTAAGAAATACAGTGGATTTAATATTTAACAACATATGAATCCCATCTTTGATATTTCCCTTACTGTACATGTCAGATCAGCGTAATAAAACGATATTACGGATAGTGAGACATTAATAGTTTGTAACGTCAAATTGTTGTGTCTTTCCTGCAGAATTATTCAAGGATTATTATCACGTCAGTATACCACTGCTAGATTAACACTTACTGTTATTAATTGTCGTTGTCAGTTATCGATGGTCTCTTTAATAACGACATACCAGAACTGATTGCTTATATTTCCAACATTTTATTTTATAAATCAACACTTTGCACTGTTTATGAATACACTATAGCGTTCCATAGGATTTCGGTCAACGCACATGTTGAGAGTTGCGTTTCTCTTTATTCTCTCTGAAGAATTCGTAAAGTATGGAACAGAACGAAGGTACCGTGTCCATTGATATAATCGCTGTTAAATTTTTAATAGCAAGTTGAAGCTCAACGTTTTAATTTTCCTTGCCATTTAGCGTCACGACAATCTGGAAAAATCGAAGATAACGTCTGCACGAAGATTCTAAATAGTTTATAATGACAGAACACTTACATACAGGTAAGAGAAGACTGCAGAACTTTCTAAGTAGTCGAAGTAAATTGATTGCACGACGTATTGCACGTGCTTTTTATTTCTACCTTTATTTTCCTACGGAATTATCTCTTATCAATTGCATCTAAGTCGACTTACTGTCGAACGAAATCCGCTGTCACGGGATAACAGTTTGCACTCGAGAGTCGAATAATGCACATCAGAACGCGATGAAAGTGAGACGATGCATCTTTCTCATTGAGTTGTAACATAAGAAATATAACATAAGGTTTGATAAATCGTGAGACAAGCGGAGACTAGGAATTGGTTCGAATACGGAGTCAAAAGAGCGAGATAAAAACAAATTCTAATTGCTACATCTATTCTTAAGCTTCAACTGGTTCATTGAGTCCTTTCACAAAAGTCTAATCAACAATGTTTAATGTGAAAAACTGCGTGTTTACGAATTATTGGAAACATTGCATCGTGAGTGCATGTAAATAAATGTATACCAGTGACAAGATTTGGTGATTAAAGTGTCTGAACCTAATCATATAGGTTGTTTATAATTTTTTATTCGTTTCTGAGACTATAATAACTCCAACGATGAAGACTAGCGATGGGACCAAATATCTTGTAAATAGGATCGAATTTAACCCGAGAATCTCGAATGTTTTACGAGTAGATATCTATTTGAAAAATTATAAGTGATAATTTCAAGTATACTCGAATTTATAAGACATAGGTTCGAAATCAGTATAAATATTTTGATCCACATAGCAGTACTTTCAAGTTTGACTGAACATTTAACTAATAGATTCGAATCATTGAATACTTTGACCTGAATGTTATTCATTATATACGATTGTGTAATTTCAAGTCACTGATTTGTTTTCGGCTAAAAATAGAAACAGTTCACATAGCGTTTATTTAACCCTTTGACCGCGGGACGATTTTTGCTGGAAATTCTAAGAGAGGTGGGAATTTAAAAAAAAATATCAGCTTATCCATAATGACAGAACGAAACTTTTTTATATTCATAGTTCATTCATACAACGTTTAGTTTCAGAGATAAAAACTAAGATCTTTTTTATGAAATTCAATTTTCGCAACGGAGTTTTAACTTCTTAATTTTTATTTTTAAAACAAAGCGTCCTATAAATAAGCTATAAATATATAAAAAAAGTTTCGTCTAATCATCCCCTGTAATCTGATATTTTTTAAAACTTGATTCAACGAATACAAACATATCTCTGAGCCCATTTCTCGATTATGTATACGCCCTTCGCAGTCAAAGAGTTAACTACATCCCGTAATAATTAATTTTTACTAAATTCTACACAATTTTTCACTTCACTTTTTATTAAAAAAATAACTGCCAAGAGTCCCTTAACAGGGACCAGCGTTTCATATGTTACAACTCAACTTCTCATGCATCTCGATAAAATCGTTTCAACAATTTAGTCTGTATTTGTAGATCGACAAAGCCATACAAATCAGAGATCCGTTACTGTTGAACGAACGGATTTTTTCGTTAGGAGATGCCTGGCCATTGGGACGCGAACCCATGCTATTCAGTTGGTTCGTGATGACGTACTTTAGCTTCGACCTGATTATGAAATTATGGGATCTGTTGTATATATATTCAAATTCCCCGTTTACATGTACCGTGTATGAAAACCTCGGAAACGAACGTTGATTACCGTTACGGATGTACACAGAGCGCCGTCCTTCTGGCTCGAGACGCCGTAGCGATCGCACGTGGCGAAATGCGTAATGCGAAATCGGTATACCATTAATATACATATTTTTGTTAGTTGTCTAAGTATTAAGTAAATACATTGTGAGAACATAACAGGATCTAATAATTTACCTACACAATCTTAACATGACGGTGTCAAACTTCCTGAAAACGGTATTGTTTATGTCGGTGTACTTCAGTCTTATTCTGGTAGTGAAATGTAGGAAACAATTGAAGGAGGTGATCGTAGAGATGCGGAGGGATATCGAGAGTGACATGATGCTCGATGACAACGAGGAGAAGCATTTGTATCACAATTACAACAAAGTTTCCTATAATTTCAAACAGATTATGAAAACATCTATGTCATGTGTCTCCTTACTGCAAGCCAATATGTGATAGTAGAATGCATATATGAAAATGTAACAATACCTAGATAGTACACAATGTGTAGATAATGCTATTAAAAGTATTTTTTTTCGGATCCATGTGTATATTTTATCTGGTATACCGCGTTATATGGTTTGCTATATTAATTATTCTTTAACATTTTACCAGTAACCATTCTCTATTTATGTACATACCGGAAGAGTATGGTAAAAACAACATCGTGTAACAACAACTCGATATTCAACTTCCTCCAACGGTGAGTTCTATCAAGAAGTAGTTTCTCGTGTTGTTGTATCCTGCAGAATTATAGCAAGGATTATTATTACGTCAGTATAGTATTACCAGATTAACACTTGGTTATGTTAGCCCTTTGCACCTTCAGTCACCACTAGGTTTGAAGCAGCAAATCAACCAGCAATGATGTTTGTTTAGGTTTAATTTCTGTGGAACTCGAAGTGTCAATAAAGTTGGCCTGATTCTCAAATCTCAAATTAGAGATCTCATTTTCGAAGTCAATCTAAGCTTAGCATACGTGGCAATAGAATGCTAAGATAGTATCACGAATTGCTGATGGATGATAGAAAAAAATGCCTCAAGTACAAAGGGTTAATTGTCGTTTGTCAATTATTGATGGTCCCTTTGATAACGGTTCACCAGAACTGAGCGTTTGTATTTCCAATAATTTATTTTATAAATCAACTCTTTGCACCGTTTGAAAGAATACAATACAGCATTCCATAGAGTTTCAGTCGAGTTCTATATCGCGAGTTGCGTTGTTCTTTCTCTAGAATTCGCAAATTCGTACGCGATAGAATCATGTCACAATCCCCACTGATACACTCTCTGTTTTCTGATACACTCTCTCTCTCTCTCTCTCTCTCTCTCTCTCTCTCTCTCTCTCTCTCTTTCTTTCTTTCTCTCTCTCTCTCTCTCTGGCAAGCTAAGGCTCATCTTCTACATTTTCCTTATTACTCGGCGTCACGCTCTTGGAACAAAATCAAGGATAATGCTTGAGTACACATTTGAAGACTTTAAACAGTTCATACTGCTAAGGATTATTATAGACAATGTAGACAGAAGAAAATCGTAGAACTTTCCAAGAAATCGATGTGAAACGATTAAGGGTGAATATTCAAGAAAGTTCAATTATCTTGCCTTCCCGGAGGAGACGACATTGCACGCGCCTTAGTTCTACGTTCATTTTCATTTGAAATAATCGTATATCGATTGCGCGCGGGTCGACTTAAAGACGAACGAAATTCGCAGTCACGCGATAGCAGTTTACACTCGAGAGTCGATGGACGCGCATCAGAACGCGATGAAAGTGAGACACGATACACCTCTTGTCCGTTGGGTTGTAACATAAGAAGGATCTGATACATTATGAGGGCTAGGAATTGGTTCGATTGTGCACTCGACAAAAATATTATTTCGTCTTTCCTTCCCAATCAACTTAATCACCTTTCTGATCAAAATGATATATTATTTTTAAATTCAGTTGTTCGACTGTTGTCTTTTTTATTTAAGACAACAGCAACTGGATCAGACCATTACGAGATCTCAGGAAAAAGGTCGTCTAAGCTTTTAATTTTTATCTGTGAAATTAAACGCCATATGAATAAAGTGTAAACATAAAAAAGTTTCGTTTGGTCATGCTCTATAAGGTTATATTTGTTTTTAAATTCACACTCCTACGCTTCTCATAGTCAAGGGTTTAAACAGATTGTTGTTCACGTTTACGCGAAGCACGCATAAAAATTGCAGTTCCCATTGTGTCTCAAAATAGTGATGTATCGACGATCAGCGTTTCACATGTTACAACCCAATACCTCTCGACATTGATTCGTCTCGGTATCATTGGAACAATTTACTTGGCGCGCACAGGACGTCGCAGCCATCAAACTCAGAGACCCGCTCGTGTTGAACGAGAAGATCTTTTCATTGAGCGGTGTTTGGCCACAGCAACACACCCGCATACTATTGAAGTTCACGGTGATATATCTTGGTCTGCACGTGTTTATGGAATATTGGGACCTGATGGATGTCATCGGCGATCTCGACATGACGGTAATAAACATCTTGGAAACAATGGTAGCGACGTCGACGTATCTCGGTCTTCTTATAGTAATTAGGTGTAGCAAGCAATTGGAGGAAGTGATTGTCGCGATGAAGAGAGAAATCGCGGATGATAAGACCTTCGAAAACATCGAGGAGAAGCGTTTGTATATGAGCTACAACATCATCTGTTGTCGTTTCGGCAAATGCGCGACGATAGCATCGTTCGTCACGATCGCTCTTATGTATTGCCGTCCTCTGATAGATTTGCTCGCTTCTTCTGATCTAGGTATTCCTTAATCAGGTATATATTTACGCGTACGACGAGAACGTGTCCTAGGATTAATTAATCAGTGGGGGAATTAATTAACCAGCGTTGGTGAAATTAACTTTGCCAAAACGTTTTCTGAAACAGTGATGTAGATTCAATGTTGAGTACCATAGTTACTTTACTTACGCGAACGAAACACCTGTAATAATGTTTCAAGTACGGTTTTTATTTACTTATCTTCTTATAGGTAACGGTACTATTCCCTACGTGTTGCCTTTTCGGGCTCATCTCATCTTTGACTACAAGAAACCTCCACTCTATGCTCTCGTATACCTGTACCAACTTCCTGTCACTTACATACCCATGTATCATGTAGCCGAGGTTAGTTTCATAGTAAACACGGTGCTACACCTCTGCGCCAAATTATCGATACTGTCCTATCGTATACGAAATATAGGAGTGAAATCATCTCGATCATTCCAAGATGGCATTAGACAGTCGGTGACGATGCATTTGGAGCTAACCAGGTAATTACGTATTTTTTACGAGTTATTATGTTAATTGTCACTATAAAGAGTTTGATAATATCCTGTAAATATTGCAGCTTAAGCAGCTGCGATAGAGTGGGATGTCGCAAAGGGTTCGTTTAGAAAGAGTCATTTTCAGGTTATCGAATACATTAAACGGGAGCTTTTATGTGATCCTTCTGCTAGAACTCATGAGCTGCGGCTTCAGGCTGGGTCTAGCATTGTACGTTGTACTCATTGTACGTAGATCAATTTTTATTCCATGTACTGTAAAGAGTTGTCCAAAAGGCTCTTTGGTATTATGTTTTTTAACCCTTTAACTACAAACGACGTATATATCCTTCGATAAATGATCGCAGAAAAACGTTTGTATTCGTTATATCAATTTTTTAAAAATATCAGTATATAGAGGATGATTAGACGAAACTTTTTATATTTACACTTTATTCATGGGATGCTTTGTTTCGAAAATAAGAATTGAAAAGCTAGAAGTTTGTTGCAAAAATTAAATTTAAGGAAAAAGGTCTTCCAAGTTTTCAATTTTTATCTCTGAAATTAAACGTTATATAAATAAACTATACAATAAAAAAGTTTTGTTTTGTCATTCTCTATAAGCTGATATTTTTTTTAAGTCCCGCAGTCAAAGGGTTAATACTGATATGGGTTCTAAGAGACCCATATATACCAGAGGCATTCAACAATGATAAATTCAACGTTAAGTTGGAATTTGATAGATAATCGAAAGTCTCTGTTAACGAATATTAATGCGTATCAAAACTTTTCTAGCACATTATAAATTAATATAAAGGAACAGCGTATTCAACAATTTTTTCCTCGAAACAATTTACTTCATACAAGATTTGAAAACTTATTAGAAAAGTTGACGATAGGTGGAAGAACTTGCACTTGTACAAATCCCGAAGCGATTTTTTGACAATGTTTATTTGAGCAGAAAATTCTTAAGGTAAATTTCAATTACATTAATCAGACAAACTCTATAAAGTATGTCTCCTTGTTCGAAATATGTCAGGTTTTTTTTTAACAATTTTTAAGTTGCGATGCAGACTTGAAACTTGGCACATATTATTTTATTTCAATGCACTATCGAATGATTAATCGCAACCTCAATTTGTGTTTAGGGACACATTTATCCCCAGACTATATCTTTTCGCAAGCAACGATTAAAATTTATCTCAAGAGTTTTCTGCTCCAATAAACATCGCAAATAAATCGCTACAGGGAATTTTCATTCGTCACCTTTTGTTCGTGTGCAATTTTATTCACCTGTGATCAACAGCTGTGAGGGTTTAACTATGAGTCGCTGTAACTTCCTGGAAGGCATTGTGTGTCACGTGTATATATTTACCTTAATAGCCATTGATAATGATTCACACTCGTTACACTTTCCAGAAAATCTCCACCGAACCGGTGGTTGCGTACAATTTCCTTGTGCACGCCGCCGATGTCGCTGCATACTTGTACTTGTATTCCTACATCGGCGAACAACTAATGTACGAGGTATGCACGACCATAAACTACATCGCACATATTTGATCAGACTTTTTTTTATATCAGAATAAATTTCTCTAATTAGTAGGTAGATTTTTAATTGGAAAGGTAGATTTTCACTCTATCGTATAATCATAAATAATTCAATGAAAATGTATAAGTGATATTTATTACGTTACTTTGTTATAACAACAAACTTTTTCACGGGTTTACCAATTGTAAATGTATGATGTAAGATTATACTTTATAAAAATACATAAATGAAATGGAGATTTTTACACTATTGTATAACCACAAATAGTTAAATGAAAATCTAGATGTGGTGTGTATTTCGTTGTGTATTTCAGTCTCGGATGGTGGGCGAAGCATTCTACGATATCAATTGGCCTGAAGTGGCAAGCAACGACAGAAAAGCTTTGTTGATGTGCATGATGAACGGGCAAAGAACCATGTACATTACAGCTGGAAAATCTTATATTTTCTCGCTGTTCGGTTTTACTGGCGTAAGTACAACTACTCCCTTCTATTATTTAAAATGATTGCAAACGATAAAATTATTCGTTAAGGGTGAAAAGAGTGATGCATTTTTAAGAGAAAATGAAGAAATTGTTACATTTCACTGAATAGCTACTCCTTATTTGACTCCTTATTGTTGGGTATGGGAGGCGCGGATACTACATATATTTGCTCATGTATTCCTGATAATCCCATTTGCAATTATACAGGGTGTTCAAAAAATGTTGGATGTCCTTGAACAGGGTGTTTCGGGGAGGGGGGGGGGGTGTGATTTGAAACAATTTTTTCTTAACGAAACTGTTGTTCGAAGCTTCGTTAAGGAGATATTGACAGAAACCCCCGACCAATCAGAGCGCGAGTATGCCGGTACCATAGGCCCCACAGACGGTCCTCCGGCATACTCGCCCTCTGATTGGTCGGGAGTTTCTGTTTCTGGAATATCTCCTTAACGAAGCCTCGAGCAACATTTTCGCTTAGGAAAAATTGATTCAACGCCCCCTCCACCGTGGAACAAGCCTTTTCAAGGACCTCCAACGAAAACCAAATAAAACAGCAAAAGTCGATAATGTAGAGTGCTCGGTCGATAATGCAGATTACTCTGTCGGTAATGATAAGTGCACGGTCGGTAATGCAAATTACCCTGTCGATAATGTGGAGTTCTCGGCCGATAACGCAGATTACTCTGACGGTAATGTAGGGCGCTCGGCCGATAATGCAGATTACTCTGTCGGCGATGTGGAGCGCTCGGCCGATAATACAGATTACTCTATCGATAATACAGATTATTCTGTCGGTAATATTGTAGTGCTAGGCCGGTAATGCAGAGTGCTCTGTCGATAATGCAGAGTGCTCTGTCGGTAATGTAGAGTGCTTGGTCGGTAATGTAGAGTGCTTGGTCGGTAATATTGTAGTGCTAGGCCGATAATGCAAAGCGCTCGACCGATAATGCAGATGGCTCCGTCGGTAATGTAGAGTGCTCGGCCGATAATACAGATTGCTCTGCCGATAATGCAGATTGCTCTGTCGGTAATATAGATCGGCCGGGCGATAGTGCAGATTGCTCTGTC